GGTTGTTGTATTGTGATCATATGTTAGATATCTCCATCTTAAACACAATAAAATTAATGATCAGGTTGTTGTATTGTGATCATATGTTAGACATCTCCATCTAAAACACAATAAAATTAATGATCAGGTTGTTGTATTGTGATCATATGTTAGATATCTCCATCCAAAACACAATAAAATTAATGATCAGGTTGTTGTATTGTGATCATATGTTCCTTATCTCCATCTTAAACACAATAAAATTAATGATCAGGTTGTTGTATTGTGATCATATGTTCCTTATCTCCATCTTAAACACAATAAAATTAATGATCAGGTTGTTGCATTGTGATCATATGTTCCTTATCTCCATCTAAAACACAATAAAATTAATGATCAGGTTGTTGTATTGTGATCATATGTTAGATATCTCCATCTAAAACACAATAAAATTAATGATCAGGTTGTTGTATTGTGATCATATGTTCCTTATCTCCATCTAAAACACAATAAAATTAATGATCAGGTTGTTGTATTGTGATCATATGTTCCTTATCTCCATCTAAAACACAATAAAATTAATGATCAGGTTGTTGTATTGTGATCATATGTTAGATATCTCCATCTAAAACACAATAAAATTAATGATCAGGTTGTTTTATTGTGATCATATGTTTGATATCTCCATCTTAAACACAATAAAATTAATGATCAGGTTGTTGTATTGTGATCATATGTTAGATATCTCCATCTAAAACACAATAAAATTAATAATCAGGTTGTTGTATTGTGATCATATGTTCCTTATCTCCATCTAAAACACAATTAAATTAATGATCAGGTTGTTGTATTGTGATCATATGTTAGATATCTCCATCTAAAACACAATAAAATTAATGATCAGGTTGTTGTATTGTGATCATATGTTTGATATCTCCATCTAAAACACAATAAAGTTAATGATCAGGTTGTTGTATTGTGATCATATGTTAGATATCTCCATCTTAAACACAATAAAATAAATGATCAGGTTGTTGTATTGTGATCATATGTTAGACATCTCCATCTAAAACACAATAAAATTAATGATCAGGTTGTTGTATTGTGATCATATGTTCCTTATCTCCATCTTAAACACAATAAAATTAATGATAAGGTTTTTGTATTGTGATTATATGTTTGATATCTCCATCTTAAACACAATAAAATTAATGATAAGGTTGTTGTATTGTGATCATATGTTTGATATCTCCATCTTAAACACAATAAAATTAATGATAAGGTTGTTGTATTGTGATCATATGTTTGATATCTCCATCTAAAACACAATAAAATTAATGATCAGGTTGTTGTACTGTGATCATATGTTTGATATCTCCATCTAAAACACAATAAAATTAATGATCAGGTTGTTGTATTGTGATCATATGTTCCTTATCTCCATCTAAAACACAATAAAATCAATGATCAGGTTGTTGTATTGTGATCATATGTTAGATATCTCCATCTAAAACACAATAAAATTAATGATCAGGTTGTTGTATTGTGATCATATGTTAGATATCTCCATCTAAAACACAATAAAATTAATGATCAGGTTGTTGTATTGTGATCATATGTTAGATATCTCCATCTAAAACACAATAAAATTAATGATCAGGTTGTTGTATTGTGATCATATGTTAGATATCTCCATCTAAAACACAATAAAATTAATGATCAGGTTGTTGTATTGTGATCATATGTTAGATATCTCCATCTAAAACACAATAAAATTAATGATCAGGTTGTTGTATTGTGATCATATGTTAGATATCTCCATCTAAAACACAATAAAATTAATGATCAGGTTGTTGTATTGTGATCCTATGTTAGATATCTCCATCTAAAACACAATTAAATTAATGATCAGGTTATTGTATTGTGATCATATGTTCCTTATCTCCATCCAAAACACAATAAAATTAATGATCAGGTTGTTGTATTGTGATCATATGTTAGATATCTCCATCTAAAACACAATAAAATTAATGATCAGGTTGTTGTATTGTGATCATATGTTAGATATCTCCATCTAAAACACAATAAAATTAATGATCAGGTTGTTGTATTGTGATCATATGTTAGATATCTCCATCCAAAACACAATAAAATTAATGATCAGGTTGTTGCATTGTGATCATATGTTAGATATCTCCATCCAAAACACAATAAAATTAATGATCAGGTTGTTGTATTGTGATCATATGTTAGATATCTCCATCCAAAACACAATAAAATTAATGATCAGGTTGTTGTATTGTGATCATATGTTAGATATCTCCATCTAAAACACAATAAAGTTAATGATCAGGTTGTTGTATTGTGATCATATGTTCCTTATCTCCATCTAAAACACAATAAAATTAATAATCAGGTTGTTGTATTGTGATCATATGTTCCTTATCTCCATCTAAAACACAATTAAATTAATGATCAGGTTGTTGTATTGTGATCATATGTTAGATATCTCCATCTAAAACACAATAAAATTAATGATCAGGTTGTTGTATTGTGATCATATGTTCCTTATCTCCATCTAAAACACAATAAAATTAATAATCAGGTTGTTGTATTGTGATCATATGTTAGATATCTCCATCTAAAACACAATAAAATTAATGATCAGGTTGTTGTATTGTGATCATATGTTAGATATCTCCATCTAAAACACAATAAAATTAATAATCAGGTTGTTGTATTGTGTTCATATGTTAGATATCTCCATCTAAAACACAATAAAATTAATGATCAGGTTGTTGTATTGTGTTCATATGTTAGATATCTCCATCTAAAACACAATAAAATTAATGATCAGGTTGTTGTATTGTGATCATATGTTAGATATCTCCATCTAAAACACAAAAAAATTAATGATCAGGTTGTTTTATTGTGATCATATGTTAGATATCTCCATCTAAAACACAAAAAAATTAATGATCAGGTTGTTGTATTGTGATCATATGTTAGATATCTCCATCTAAAACACAATAAAATTAATGATCAGGTTGTTGTATTGTGATCATATGTTCCTTATCTCCATCTAAAACACAATAAAATTAATGATCAGGTTGTTGTATTGTGTTCATATGTTAGATATCTCCATCTAAAACACAATAAAATTAATGATCAGGTTGTTGTATTGTGATCATATGTTAGATATCTCCATCTAAAACACAATAAAATTAATGATCAGGTTGTTGTATTGTGATCATATGTTAGATATCTCCATCTAAAACACAATAAAATTAATGATCAGGTTGTTGTATTGTGATCATATGTTCCTTATCTCCATCTAAAACACAATTAAATTAATGATCAGGTTGTTGTATTGTGATCATATGTTCCTTATCTCCATCCAAAACACAATAAAATTAATGATCAGGTTGTTGTATTGTGATCATATGTTAGATATCTCCATCTAAAACACAATAAAATTAATGATCAGGTTGTTGTATTGTGATCATATGTTCCTTATCTCCATCTAAAACACAATTAAATTAATGATCAGGTTGTTGTATTGTGATCATATGTTAGATATCTCCATCCAAAACACAATAAAATTAATGATCAGGTTGTTGTATTGTGTTCATATGTTAGATATCTCCATCTAAAACACAATAAAATTAATGATCAGGTTGTTGTATTGTGATCATATGTTAGATATCTCCATCTAAAACACAATAAAATTAATGATCAGGTTGTTGTATTGTGATCATATGTTAGATATCTCCATCTAAAACACAATAAAATTAATGATCAGGTTGTTGTATTGTGATCATATGTTTGATATCTCCATCTAAAACACAATAAAATTAATGATCAGGTTGTTGTACTGTGATCATATGTTAGATATCTCCATCTAAAACACAATAAAATTAATGATCAGGTTGTTGTATTGTGATCATATGTTAGATATCTCCATCTAAAACACAATAAAATTAATGATCAGGTTGTTGTATTGTGATCATATGTTAGATATCTCCATCTAAAACACAATAAAATTAATGATCAGGTTGTTGTATTGTGATCATATGTTAGATATCTCCATCTAAAACACAATAAAATTAATGATCAGGTTGTTGTATTGTGATCCTATGTTAGATATCTCCATCTAAAACACAATTAAATTAATGATCAGGTTGTTGTATTGTGATCATATGTTAGATATCTCCATCTAAAACACAATAAAATTAATGATCAGGTTGTTGTATTGTGATCCTATGTTAGATATCTCCATCTAAAACACAATAAAATCAATGATCAGGTTGTTGTATTGTGATCCTATGTTAGATATCTCCATCTAAAACACAATAAAATTAATGATCAGGTTGTTGCATTGTGATCATATGTTCCTTATCTCCATCCAAAACACAATAAAGTTAATGATCAGGTTGTTGTATTGTGATCATATGTTAGATATCTCCATCTAAAACACAATAAAATTAATAATCAGGTTGTTGTATTGTGTTCATATGTTAGATATCTCCATCTAAAACACAATAAAATTAATGATCAGGTTGTTGTATTGTGATCATATGTTAGATATCTTTTTTTTTTTTTTTCAATCTAGTTCCACTTTAAAAACAAGTATTTATTTTTATGTTTTGATTTCTTCAACTGTCAAAAAATTGAATAAAGCTTTTAATTGATTTGTTAAACAAACAAAAAAAACTTCAGCCTTTCCTGAAGCTTTAAATTGTTTGCCAACTTGTTAATGTTTTCTGGTCAAGGACCCTTTATTGGAAAAGTGAGTCTTTTTTTGTTTTTTATGTCATTGGGTTGTGATGTTAACCCCACATCTTTTTTATTCATTAAATATTTTTAGTTAAACATGAAGCCTGTGTTACCAAATCTAATAGAATTCACGAATAATTGTTTCCAAATATTTGATCAGCATATAATTTTGCAGTGGCAGTTCTTGATCTAAAAGCACTAATGAATGGCAATGACTATATTTTTCCATGTCTAGCAGACAATACCTTTGTAACTACTGATTTGAGTAAAGTCTTCGTAATAATCTTCAGCAGAAGCTGGTAGAGGTAAAATACGACCAGATCTGACAGATACCCGTACTTTTTTACCATCCTCTGTGTACTTCCATTCTATATCTGTTGGTTCACTGTAAATCACAAATAGAAGTTTTATTACTTTTAAATATTTGTACACGATTCAAAACAACTAAATATCCCTCACGACTAAAAATTTTCTATGACTTCATCATGTTATAAAATAAATCTTGATGTTTTTAAAATATCAAACTACATTTTCTCTCTATCTGGTCAAGTTTCCATTAAAAACACAAAAAAAATAGGTTAAAATCCTCATTCAATGACAATAACTCCAACAAAGAGTCGACGTCAAGATTTTGAACTGGCTATCTTATTTGCTGGTCATTTTAGCCAATTAAATTTTCTCTCTATCTTCTATACTTTCAGCACATAACTAAACAAGAGTGCACACGCTGAAATGTCTCGCCTCCTTTACTAATGATTGCATTTATGTTGAAAGTCTGTAATATGAAGGTTTTACTACAAGTATCACATAAACTTAACATTACCAATGTTGTATGAAAATAAGGTCACCATTAGATGAATCATGCCAGACAGACATGTTCACCTTAAAATCATTCCATAAACCAAATATAATTGACCTATTGCTTATAGTATCTGAGAAATAGACCAAACCACAAAAACTAAATATGTATTATTGTCATTTTGTTTATTTTCTTTTGTATCCTATTCTGACATCGGATTCAGACTTCTTTTATACTGAGTTTTACTGTGCGTACTGTTGTACATTTGTTTTTTCTACATTGGAAAGAGGTATAGGGGAGGGTTGAGATCTCAAAAAACATGTTTAACCCTGCCGCATTTTTGCGCCTGTCCCAAGGCAGAAGCCTCTGGCCTTTGTTAGTCTTGTATCATTTTTAATTTTAGTTTCCTGTGTATAATTTGGAGTTTAGTATGACGTCCATTTTCACTGAACTAGTATACATATTTGTTTAGGGGCCAGCTGAGAACGCCTCCGGGTGCGGGATATTCTTGCTGCATTGAAGACCCATTGTGGCCTTCGGCTGTTGTCTACTCTATGGTCGGGTTGTTGTCTCTTTGACACATTCCCCATTTCCATTCTCAATTTTATCTAATGAACCATGAAAATGAGATCAAGGTCAGATGAAACCTGCCAGTCCGATATGTACACCTTATAATCATTCTATACACCAAATATAGTTGAACTATTGCTTATAGCATCTGAGATATGAACTTGACCAAGTAACTTAAACCTTGATCACTGATCCATGAAATGAGGTTGAGTCAGTTGAACCCTAACTGGCAGACATGTAGACGTTGCAAGGAACCCATATACCAAACACAGCTATCCTATTACTCATTATAAGTGAATATTTCACTTACATTTTTTTTTAAGTAGTCACTGAACCATGAAAATGAGGTCAAGGACAATGGACATATGACAGAAGAAAACTTTGTAACATAAGGTATCTGCATACTAGCTATGAAGCATCCAGGTCTTCTACCTTCTGAAATATAAAGCTTTATACAAATAGTTTTTGTAACCGGATAGTTATCCCTATGTCTCGCATACTGCAACTTTTGTCGCAGGTGAGACAATAAAAACTAACTGGCACAGTATAGCCAATAGTGCTGAAAGTGATGTTAAACAATTACAATAAATCAATAAATTTTAGTTAAATCTTAACATATGTCATAGTTTAAGGAAAAATCTTACAAAAATATCTGTTTTTTTTTATGATTAACACTTTATTTTTCCTTTAGCAAAACAAGTTGAACTGTGGGCTCACTAATAACAACCCCTCTTTAAGTATTTGGTAAACAGGAAGTTGATTAGTAATGGATGTAAAATTGCATCACACCATTTAGCATGCTCATAATATCAGGTTAATTTCAAATTTCAGAAATTTTTTATTTGCAGTTCGTAGTTCTTAGGAAACATGAATTCATGCATTGTTGTGGTATTCGTAACAATCCCCACTGGTAATTCAAAGTATGAAATATTTGTAGGATGAAAGGATGGATGGACAAATGGACAGACAAACATATGGATGGACACAGTGATTGCAATATAGCCCCCATCTCGAGTGGGGTATAAGATGTGATGATAATTTCATACGTGGCCATTATGTGAAACAAAACATAAGTATTTAGTTAACAGGAAGTTGATGAGCAATGAATCTGAAAATGCATCACACATACTCACATGAAGCTAGATACACATGCTCACATGAAGCTAGATACAAATACTCACATGAAGCTAGATACACATACTCACATGAAGCTAGATACACATACTCACATGAAGCTAGGTACTAAATTAAGAGAAGCTCTGATTTGAAGTTTCTCAGAAAAATGCAACAAAATATTATTGGTAGGATTGATAGATCACAGAAATACAGACAGATAAAAACAAGGACAGAAGTAAACCAGTATTTATAATATTAATAATTTGACAGTTGGAATTCAAATATTTTTTGGGGACAATTGAATATACATGTAAAATAGAATAAAACAGCAGTGCTGTTGATCAAATGACTTACTTATCAGCACAATCCACTAATCTGACTTAATGACTTACTTATCAGCAGGATCAACTAATCTAACTAAATGACTTACTTTTCAGTAGGATCCACTAATCTGACTTAATGACTTACTTATCAGCAGGATCCACTAATCTGACTTCTGATGTTACAAGTAAAGGCTTCTCTGTCTTCTTCAAAAGTGGTTGGCCTTCAAATTCCTCTTCAAGTTTATATTCCTAAATCAAAGCATTACATAATTAACTATTTTGTGTAAACACATTTCTTCCCAAAAGACAGATCAATTTAAATTTTAAAAAGAGCTATTGAAACAATTACTATGTATTGAAATCAGAATTTCTCAAGTAAAACAGTTTAAATCTGGTTAATTTTCCCTTAGATTTACCTTTATTCCACCTAAACAATTTCGGTTTTATCAACTGATATTATTAAAATAAAAAGGTAGTACCTCAGTGTTCAGTAAATGTCTCAGGTACAAAACAGCCACTTCAAAGAAATCTCATTAAAACATGTAAAAGCAACCGTATGTCTGAATTATTAATTTCAAGGATTCATTCAGTGAAAATGATTAAGTTCAGTTCCACGATTCTTATAGCTATCTCTACAGAGTATCAATACATGCATGTGGCCTCACTATGGCTCATAATAGGAATGACCTTTCGTTAAAGGACTTGAATTACAATACAAGTACAAAGTAATTACATTTTGTTCTACATTGGATGATATTCCTATGAGAGGCTTCTCCTTTAAAAAAGGAACCATGAGGTAATATTAACTTATAAGATTGATTTGTCTTGTAAATTATCAATGCAAACATCATTGACCCTTCAAACTTTCCTACTCTAGTAACTCATGTTATAATATGGACTTCTATCTTCCTGGGATCAAGGATATGTAGCCTGTATCTCTTCTTGATGAGGGCCTCGGTGGCTGAGTGGTCTAAGTAGTTACTACTGTAATCACTAGCCAGTCAACACTGAGGTTGTGAGTTCAAACCCCGCTCGTGCGGGTGCACTCGACTCCAATCTTAATTGACTAGATTTGTCAGTTTTCCTATCGAAGGACGGTGGTTTTCTCCGGGCACTCCGACTTCCTCCACCAATAAAAACTGGCCACCACGAAATAGCCCAAAAGCGGTGCTTAAAAGTGGCATTAAAACACCAAAAATCAAAAATCAAATCAATCTCTTCTTGATGTTTTAAGGAATCCATACTTATGCCACAAACACTTCTTGTTGCTACAATAGGATTTTTATCCCGATTACTACTATCAATTGTCATTGAGCTGTTCATCTGACACTTTGTTGTGAGCCAATAATTTTATAAACCCAACAATGTTATATCTTCAGCCAAATTTCCATCAAATGGCGCATTATGGGATCTTAACTTATTGTTCAGTATATATGTTATTTCTGAAATTCAATTTTTTAGTATGACTTGATGCATAAAAATTACACACAACTTTTGTTTTGCCTAAATGACTGTTTATTCAAACCTGTTGTATGTAGTCAGTCTGTATAATAGTCTCATATTGTAATTTCCTTGTAGTCTCTAATCTTTTCTGAAATCTCGTTAGGTGTAAATATTTTCTGTAGTTTAATAAGGTGGTTGTATATTATTTGTGTCTGAGTGGTATGCAAAGACTTTTATAAATGTATAGTGTCAGTGAACAAAACATTGTAGGTCACCAATGGCAGGCTTACTAAAAATTTTGAGTTATATTTATTTACCTATTCCAAAGAGCAAAGTTTCATAATGTAAGCCTTCCATTGATGAAATAAAAAGTTTAATGATCACATCAACCTGTATTTTAATTACAGCTGTAATTTAGGTAAATTATTTTCTGTGTGTATCGATAAGAAGTCCTGATTATTTCCTGTGTGTATTGATGAGAAGTCCTAATGTCCAATATTTAGTTCAAGTAAACTCTCCTGATTGAGCAAATCTCAATTAAAGTCAAGACAGCAACCCACATATTTAAGCATTGTACACCAATTACCAGCTCCAAACACAACTAAACCAAATTTTACATAAGGGATATCTGTGTGTTAACCAAAACATAATACTTGCAAGTCACACTGGCTTAAAGCAGGAAGATATGTTAGAATAATAATTTTATTATAAACAATCAAATCAGTTTTGGCCCTTGAGAAACACTCAGCATACAAAATAAAATTTTGAGTTCCTGCCTGAGCAGGTCAGCTTGCAACCTTCAGTGTAAGGAAGAACCTGCCTGCCCGACAATGCGCCAGCCAGGAAGTGGAGTGTCTCCACAGAGAGGATGAGAATAGACATCTCATCTGCAGCCGGGTTGTGCAAGGTCTGCATCAGGGGATAGCCCATGTGGTGCTATTACAAGTAGTAAGTAGCAGGGTCTATCAAACTGGCGCTGGAATAATTTTGATCAAATTTGTCCCCGAAATGCTTGGGGATGAATGAAATTTTAGAAATGACCAGTGATAAAATTCCATCAAGGAAATATAATAAGAAAAGAAAAATAAATATATCACTAGTAAAATTGCTGAAATGTTTCTCTTGTCATGAAACATTATTGAAGGTGTTAGGAAGGTGGATGGTGGGTGGTAAATTAAATAATAGCACTGTTAACTATATCAACTAGTCAGACTGCTATGAACCTAGAAAGTGATTATACAAAGACCATGCATATGGCTTCACACACAGATTGGGTACATCAATCATATAGGGGGAGGAGACTGACCTCACTTGGCCTTCAGAATGATATACTAATTGCTGTGCAATAAATTTTATAAGATCTGTTATCATAATCTGCATTTCCTCACCAAGAGTAATTGCTTGTGACATATATCTGATTAGGAAAAGATTAATGTTTTTCCTGTTGAGACTCCATAACCTCAAAATGTCAAATACCATAGAAATTATTCTCAAGCTAACACAGGTGGTCAATGATGTTAAATGTATCAATGATGTCAGCATCTTTCACCAGATATTAATTGTACTCTTGTTTGTATAAACAAAACTTATATTACATATAAGTAAAATATAAATAAAACCTACTAAATAGATTGAATACCTACACAATTAAGTCCCTCAACATAGCACCAATTCCTTTCTTTGATGATAAAATTCACCAGACCATGTCTTCCTTTATCTTTACCTATTAACACTTGTACCTGTAACAAAATATCATAACATTATTACATTTCTTACTTTTTCTTCAAGAGAAGTCTCTTTACAAAGATTTTGTTAGGGTTGGCCACGTATATACACAGGCAGCTTTTTTTTGGCTTTGGCAAGCTTTACATACAGATATTAATTTTAGTTTTAAACATTCCCCTAAATATGCAGATATTCATGAATGTCACATGAACAAATCTGTTTAGGCCTGTAACTGAAGCATTAACCAACAAAATCATTTGATATGAGAAAATAAATCATATTTTCTGGCAAATTCATTCGTATGATCGTCTATTTTAAAGCACATTTGTTACTTATTAACTGTTGTTTATTTATGGAACTCAAACCTTTTGTAGCAAGCTTCATATGGGCAAGATATACAATGTGATGCATTTTCACATTCATTGCTCAACAGCTTCCTGTTTACTGAATACTTGCACTTATATATCATTACAGATAATCATGTATGAAATTTATATCACATTTTTCTCATGAACTAAAGATGAGAACAAACTAACTTTGGTATCATCATTCCTGTGTTATGCGTTTTCACATACTGTGCAATTCAACTTCTTGCTTACTGAGTTCATAGAAGGGGTATCATATGTGAGCAGTATCTTACAGACTAACTGGTTTAGTTGGTTTTGTTATTAACCAGCTTCAGAAGATAGGAATACTAGTTTTCTTTCATCCGTCTGTAGTTCATTTATGTCACATTTTTTTCAGCAAGTGATCTAAAACAAGAACTTTTGAAATTGGGCAACGATGTAAGAATTGGTAGCTTATCTAAACCTTTTTGTTAATTTACTTTCGGGACAAAAAAGGGGTTATCTTTTAAATGAAAGATAAAATTAAATTCTAACTACTAATATTTGTTAATTTTTTAAATGTATAACTTATTTACTTATCAATGGACGATAATAGCTTAGTCTTTAAAGGGGTTTGCTTCATAAAAAAAATATATATAGCATTCTAAAAATTGATTTATACTGAATAACAAACAAACCTACCACAAAGTTCTTCAAAAAATTTCCAAAAAAATTGAAATTTTTTTTCTTAAAAAATATCATTCCTCATTAATACAAGTCTTTAAAAAATCCATAAAACTTATCTCTTATTATTTTTCAAAATATCTTATAATGGACAGTAAACTTCAAACTATATCTATACATAATTTCTTCTCTAAAATTAGATTTGTGCAATACATCTCTGAATTTGGATTCGGATTAAATATTTGACATAGCAAATTTTTTGACACAGAATGAATGTGAAATAACTTGAAAATAGGGATTAAATAAAAAATCTTAATACATTGTACATGTTTAGATTCAGCATATCAAGGAACCCCTTGAATTCAATTTTTGTTAAAATCATACTAAGTTTAATTTTGGACCCTTTGGACCTCAATGTAGACCAATTTGAAAACCAGTCCCAAAATCAAAAATCTAAATACACAGTTAGATTTGGCATATCAAAGAACCTCCATAATTCAATTTTTGATGAAATCAAGCTAAGTTTAATTTTGGACTATTTGGACCTCAATGTGGACCAATTCAAAAATTGGGCCAAAATTCCAAAATTTAAATACATGGTTAGATTCAGCATAATAAAGAACCCCAAAAAGTCTTGAAACCACATTGAAATTGGTCAAGAAATAAGCAATTTTACAAATTAAAGTATTAGAAAAGTATTGTTTTTGGCCCCCTTCTCCAAAAAGGTAAGGGCAATTTGGCATATCAAAGAACCTCCATAATTTAATTTTTGATGAAATCAAACTAAGTTTAATTTTGGACAATTTGGAACTCAATGTGGACCAATTCAAAAATGGGCCAAAATTCCAAAATTAAAATACACGGTTAGATTCAGCATAATAAAGAACCCCAAAAAGTCTTGAAACCACATTGAAATTGGTCAAGAAATAAGCAATTTTACAAATTTAAGTATTAGAAAAGTATTGTTTTTGGCCCCCTTCTCCAAAACGGTAAGGGCAATAACCCCCAAAATCAATCCCAACCTTCATTATTTGGTATGGAACCTTGTGGTACAATTTCATAGTGATCCATAGACTTACACTCAAATTATTGTCCAGAAACCAGAAAATGCTACTTATTGCACCTAGTTCATTAACGGTTTGGGTCATAACCTCCAAAATCAATCCCAACCTTCCATTTGAGGTATGGAACCATGTGGTACAACTTCATAGAGATCCATACACTTATACATGGTTATTGTCCTAAAACAAGAATAAATGGAGAATGTGTCCCAATGGACACAGATGATGCCCCCGCTTGCATACAACATTGTAAAGGGACATAACTCAAGAACAATAAAAGTGACACTACCCAAATGTGTGCTTGATCTGAGTTTTGTGGTAATAAGTATTGCGTAAAGGTTTCATAATGTTTGGTTGGGGCAAACTCAAGTTACAGAACGGAAACTAAAAATTTTGCAATTTTTTTCGATTTATAAAGGGGCATAACTCAATACTGATTAAAGTGACGCCACCAAAATTCAACTTGATCAGTGTTTTGAGGTAAAAAGCATTGTGTATAAATTCATAACACTTGGTTGAGGCAACTTAAGTTAGAGAACGGAAACTAAAAATTTTGCATTTTTTTCCATTTATAAAGGGGCATTACTCGAGAATGGTTAAAGTGACTCCACAAAAATTCAAACTTGATCTTTATATTGTGGTAATAAGCATTATGTATAAGTTTCATAACATTTGGTTGAGGAAAACTTAAGTTAGAGAATGGAAACTAAAAATTTTGCAATTTTTCCAACTATAAAAAGGCATAATTCGATAATGATTAAAGTGACGCCACCAAAATTCAACTTGATCTGTGTTTTGAGGTAAAAAGCATTGTGTATAAGTTTCATAACATTTGGTTGAGGCAACTTAAGTAAATAAACGGAACTAAAAGTTTTGCATTTTTTTTCCATTTATAAAGGGGCATAACTCTAGAACGGTTAGAGTGACACTACCAAAATTCAAACTTGATCTGTGTTTTGTGGTAATAAGCATTGTGTATCAGTTTCATAATATTTGGTTGAGGCAAACTTAAGTAAGAGAACGGAAACTAAAAATTTTGATATTTTTATTGATAAAGGGGCATAACTCTAGAACGGTTAGAGTGACACTACCAAAATTCAAACTTGATCTGTATTTTGTGGTAATAAGCATTGTATATAAGTTTCATAATATTTGGTAGAGACAAACTTAAGTCAAAGAACGGAAACTAAAAATTTTGCAATTTTTCCATTTATAAAGGGGCATAACTCTAGAACAGTTAAAGTGACGCCACTAAAATTCAAACTTGATCTGTGTTTTGTGGTAATAAGCATTGTGTGTAAGTTTTATAACATTTGGTTGAGGCATTGAGGCAAACTTAAGTTAGAGAAAGAACTAAAAATTTTGTAATTTTTTCCATTTATAAAGGGACATAACTCTAGAACAGTTAAAGTGACGCCACCAAAATTCAAACTTGATCTGTGTTTTGTGGTAATAAGCATTGTGTATAAGTTTCATAACATTTGGTTGAGGCAAACTCAAGTTAGAGAACGGAAACCAATTTTGGGACGTACTGCGATGTACGTACATACGGACAAGGGTAAAACTTAATGCCCCCTCCGCTTTGGCGGGGGTATAAAAATGCTTGTTTTTGGGCCCATTTTGGCCCCCAATTTCTATACAGTAAGGACAATAACCCCCAAAATCAATCCCAACCTTCTTTTTGTGGTATGGAACCTTGTGGTACAATATCATAGAGATCCATACACCTATTCTCAAGTTACTGTCTGGAAGCCAAATATTATACGACAGCAAAAAATTTGCGGTCGTTACAAAAAACTGCAAAGAAATTGTACACATTGTCATTTAAGAGTAATAACTCCTAAAAGAAGATGTCTGACAGTTTTGATGTAAATGGACAGAAAGAAGATCTCGACATTCTGGAAAATTTCTGCTATGTCAGATTTCAAGTTAATAGAAATAAAAAGCTGCACCATTAGCGCCATAAGCGCATGCTACACCTGTCGCTTATTCAAAGAATTAAGTTCCATAACTCCTCAATGTCATATCAGAAATTTATAAAAAACTAAAAGGGAGGTTATTTTAATAGATATAAAACAGTCACTAAAGTTTCATGAAAACTGCTCAAAGCACTTTTGAGTTATTGTCAGAAAACTGGAAAATCCCCCTTTTTTATGAATAAAACCCCATAACTCTAAATCTAAAATTAATAAAAATAGAAAGGGAGCTCACATCAAAAGATATAAACAATTCACCATAGTTTCATGCAAATTGGTTCAAGCGTTTTTGAGATATTGTGCAACATGTTGATGGCAGACGGACAGACACACGGATGGACGGACAACGGTATACCATAATACTTCCCATAAACAGGCTTATAAAAACAAGTATTTCACCCAATATGTTCTATTTTTAGCTATGTCTGCTATGAGGGTTGACTGACGAGGCCATCAGGCAAATTTACAAAGTAGATACCTCAACCTTGGTTGAAGCCAAGTTTGGTCAAATTTTGACAACAAGTGAATAGCTCACTTGGCCATTTTGGGCCAGTGAGCTAACAAGTGATGTTAAACTTTTGTGTTGTAAGCTTCAGCAAGAAAAATGAAATGCTTCCTTGTACATGTTTTATTGTTACTGGCATTCAACTTACCTGGATATTATGTAATCTTACTATCAACATCAATCAGACAGTGAGACAAATAGCACATTCTTACTGATGTTTGTTAATACACAACTCCTGAATGGCCTTAATTAGGATCTTGCATTAAACACTTACTTGTTAAATAACATGTATTATATAGGGTTAAATTATTTAGCCCATTTTAATATCTTTGACACCCCTGAAGTTGAATGTAATGTGAAGTTTATATCAAAATTCCTACGACTTTTCATTATCATAAAAAATCATATAAAATCAACAGATGGTTTTAAACCTTTTACATCTGAAATCATAAAAATATCAATCAATTGTCTTGCAAGAAGTCAGTTCCATTTTCATTTCAAGAAAACTGTTCTTAAAATATCCGTGTACACTCCCCTAATTGCAAAAGTGGAACTGGGTAAATGGAAGGTAAAATCAAATGAAGCCATTTGTTTTGACTGACCAACATGACCAATATTGATTTCAATACCCAATTAATATTTGACCAATATTGGGCAAAATTCAACGTGAAATAAACTAGTTGGATGAAACTTGGTTCAAACTTGTACAAGTTTTAGTTAAGGATTTGAAATCAAAAGCGAATTAACATCTTATAAAGTGTTGAATGCCACACTGTGACTGTGAGATGAAAGGTGTACTAGTGATCCTTTATTTTCTATTATGATTTTCTCAGGATTTGAGAAACTCACTATGACATGTATGACAAAGGCATATAAACATTTATATGAAGGAACTATGTGGGAAGTACCATCTTTGGTGTTTATAGCATGTACTTTAATTATAATATTAATGGCAATACTCTGGTGCTCAACCCATAAATCTCCAGTATATAAAATATACATTCTTCTTTGGAAGGGGTTGACATATTATAATTCTTAAACTTGGTCCAAGAACATTGTTGATCCTGTTTCAAGAATAACATATCCCCACTGCATATTTAGAACACCTTTAAAGAGGTAGCCATTTGTGAGTGCTATACTGAACACACTAGATCAGACATCCCTACCCAACTCTTTCTCTTTTGAGTGGTAATCATTCTCCCCATTTTAGTCTTATTCCTCCCTCCCTTTTATAATCAAATTTGATTTTATAGTTTGGTGAACTTGTTCACATCCTGAATAAGCTTGAAATATTTCACACTGGACATTAAACCACCACCAGCAAATCAATTATTAATATATGTCCTATGCACCTGCATGTGTATGCATTGCAAAATACAGTAAAAAAAATACGTTTTCATTTTGATATTTTAATATGATGTAGTTAATCTAAAAATGTTATAACATTGTAAAGCTAAAATTTCATTAAAAAAATACTACTACCAAAATGCCCAATCAATAAAGTACATAAAAAAGGCAGTAATCAATAATAATAAACTGTTGATACAGAGTTATGTCTCGCCTGTCAGCAGAAAATTTAGAAAAAAGACAATCTGATGGACAGCAGCATTACTAATTAATTCAAATTTGCTGGACCATGACGCTAGGGGCAGGACCTCGAAATAGTTGACACTGATGGTAATGCAACTTTAAATTAAATATCAACGACCGATCACAAGTACCGGTAGTTCCTATCAACATGATCAAACTAACTTAAGCAGAAAACTTAACATTGAAAATTGATAATTAATTCAAAGTCACTGGACCTTGACCTATGGGGCAGGGCCTCCATATACATGTAGTTATCAAACTGATATGTACTGATAGTAATGCAACTTCATATTAAATAGTTCCTATCAAACTAACTTAAGCAGAAAACTTAACAATTGTTGACCCCAATGATGACGATGAAGTCATCGTCATTGGAAAAGCAATCCCTATATCTCGCTTTCTGCGACTTTCATTGCAGGCAAGACAAAAATGAGGATCAAATATCCCTTTTGAAGGCACAAATAAAACAAAAGTTTGTTTCTCCTTCAATTTTCTACAATGTACCGAGTATGTGCTCTGGATTTTTATTTTTTTCATTTACATGCATACATTTTATTTTGGACTATCAAAAAAAATTTAAATTCACATTCAAATGTTTATCAATTGAAGGGGATTTATCTTTTACGACTGAACTTTTAAATATATATATCTCAAATCCTATCTTTATCATTTTTTCAAGAGAAGGAATTTTAATGTATATATGTACATTGTACATTAAACATTAAACATGTGCCCACTGAATAATTTTCTTAGAATGGACTAAACTTAACATGATCAACTTAAATTGGGTAAAATTCTGTCTTTAAAAAAAACATCTGAATCCAAAAAGCACAGGGAAACTTGACACTTAACCTTGTTAACTTAAGTTCAAAGTCTGGTGTAGCTGTATACAAATACCTTGTAATAAATACAGATATAGAAGAAAGTTGGAGGACAGCTAGATGCTTTCTTAATGTAGTAAGGCAAATCATCCTTCATTAATAAGCTCAAGGGAATCACTCTACATGTTCAAAAGACAACACTGCAATTATATGTTAAATTCAACATTGCTTGGATCAATTGTCATGATTTTTGGAAATGAAAAGGAAATATTGTTTCTATAAATCAATTGGCCTATATAACCATGATAACTATGCTAGGAATATGAATGTTAAATAAATATGTAAAATATTACATACATACACATGTATTATATGATTCTTTTTTCCCTTTTTCTTAAAAAATTATAATGTAAACCTTCATGATTTGTACATCATGGTACATGGTCAACAGTCATCTCTCCCTTGTAAACAACTACACATTGGTAAAATAGTAATAAATTTAAAATGTCAATAAATATCAAAAGGTTTCCTGTTAATATTAACTTTATATCATCAGAACAATCTGATTAAAATCAGATCTTTCACTTCCCCCCTCCCTTATATTTGTTTGGTGATGGTGTAAGATCTGAAACATTCCATAAGAGATGTTTAACATCAAATTAATTTTCCCTTCACAAGTTTCTGTCCTTTTTACTATGAAATATATAAAACATTTGTTTGGTTCAACTTTACCTGCCAAATATTGTATATAGTCCACAAATTTTAGGTCCTAACCAATTAATTATCAAGCAGTTTGAATTCATGCACCAATCTAATTGTAAAGATTTCTAAACTAGGGAAAGCAGCAATGTTTCATCCTTTAATCATTTTTTCTATATCATAAATCGTAAGTCGGTAAAACATCTAATTACTATAACCATGATTCAATAATTCAAATTGCCAGTGTGTCAATTGAATGATTGCATGAATAAAAATTTGCATAAATTGAAGGTCATCCAATTTAACCTCTTATGCTGGAATGGTTAAACCTTTTCAGAGCAAAGTGATAAATCTGATTTCAATCAGAAGTCTAATAGACTCCAAGTAAAAATTGCCCTATAAATAATCATTATTATTTGAAATGTGGACGGTCAGGAAAATTACATCCATAATGCTGTATTACAACTTTAGATGCATAAAACCCACACTCCATACAAATATCAAGTGGTTTGTTCTGAGCAAGCTGAGATAAAAATCCACCCACAAAAGCATCACCACAACCGTTAGTATCTTTTATTAAATCTTTCTTCACTGGAGTAATTGGAAATTCAGTAATTTGACCATCCTGAGCTAATATGGTTGGATCTTTGCCCTGAGTGAAAACAATAATTCGTTTACGTTTTTCATTAAGTTTTGGCAGTGCCTGAGCTTTGAGAGCTATTTCTTTGATGTCTGATGTTTCAAATCCACTACAACTACCAAAGGCTTTGGCTTCATCTCCATTTCCAAATAATACATCTACATACTGCATTAGATTGAGGTCAGGATCTGCAAATCTTTTGCATAAAAATTTGGCATGTAAGTTCATCACAACAATTTTATCATTCTCAGCAGCATGCTTGGATGCTTGTATAACAGCATCAGAACTAACAGGAACTATAAATCCACCGATATAAAAAATCTGTGCTTTTTCTACAAGCTGCCATATATCTGGTTGACTTAAAAACTGCGCTGTAAAATGTTCTGCTGCTCCAAGATCTGTCACTAAAGACCTGTCCTCTCCCGTAATAATAGCACCACATTTTCCAGTGGATTTATCATTGTGAATTTCATATTTTACATTCACGCCAACTTCTTCAGCAGTTTTTAATAAAATTTCATGAAATTGATCATTTCCAACACCACCAACAAATGAGGTTGCTTTGGGCTTCTGTAAAAGCCACTGAGCAACCCTAATGCTATTCTGAGTGGCTCCTCCTGCCAGATAAATAGGTTTATAGTCAGCTACCATTTCTTCAAACAAGGCTGTATGTTTTTCTGTTGCAATGATTGCATCATTAGATTGTAGTCCATATTTGTCTAAGAAAGCCTGGTCTGCACTAATGGTAATATCCAGCAGAGGATTTCCTATTCCCAACAAGATACCTTCTGGTATTCGGTCACTATTGGCCATTTTGAACTGGTTTCCCTGGAAAGTAAAACATCAAAACTATAGTGTTTTTCTTGAAATATATACATCAATCAAAATCCATGTCTTGAAGATTATCAGACCTAATTTCCATGACAAGTTTATCATTACATATCTTACAGTTGTCTAAAACACTCAATCAGAACTTCCATGATCAGAGCATATGTATAGAAGTTGCAGACAGGTATGTTGTTATCACCTGACATTCTAGTGGAAACTAAAATTAATAAAATACATAAACTGTCTGGATTTAAACAATTGAAATAAATTTGAGTACTAATTTGTATGTTATTAGTATGTATATATATATATATATTATCTGTAACATTTTGTTTATGTGAATAAAGTATTTATTAAAGAAAGACTTTAATTTTGTTTTTAAATTTAGACGGACCTTGAAAATATAGATCTAAACTGATTGATTGGTTGTTGGTTGCTTAATGTCCAATGGCAAATATTTCATGCATGATCTAAACTGAACTTATAAAAGAAAATGTAGAATGATTATAATGATTTTGCTTTTGTTTTACATGAATAATAAGGGATGTGGTGTATATGGCCTCAGACCACAATTATTTTTACTATTGGTTTTTACGTTGGATCTGTAAACCAACAAATTAAAAACCCCTGGCCTTTTAGTAAAGACCATTATTATTCTAATAAAATATGCTTGTCCCAGGAAAATCCATCGCTCCTTTCTCTTTATGAGAGCCCCGAAAACATGTCAATGGTAGGAGTTGAATCTTGAATAAAGGCTGAAGGCTAATTTCTACCATACTTTCACTTTGGCCAAATCATTACTTTCACTTTCAACAATAAATTTTTCCCACATATTTTATTTATTTCAATATATATGTAATTTATAGGACCACTTAAATAGTAAACTTTTCAAAGAAAACAGTAACAAGAAAACTCCTGAAGAAATACCCCATATAATACTTCTAGATTCCAATAAACAATTAATTTCCCGAAAGGCGACAATGATAGCCTTTTTTAAGACTTAAGAAAGTTGATTTTTTTAACAAAACCTTGCTAGAATTATAGAAAAATTATTCGGACAGTATTTTTTGGTCCAAAAAATATAGGTTTCCGTGGCTTTTCTTACTGTAATTTGTACTTATCTCCCTTGCCTATCAATTTTGCACTTAAAAACATGTGTCTCATCCTAGCCTTGAAAAGACATCTCAGATCCGTTAAGGCTACGGAAAATATATTATTTTGACTTTGATATAATGCAGAGTGCACGAAGTCTCTAATAATAGAAAATAACGGGTGCACATATTGACCAATCAGGATTAGCCATACTCTTAATTCTGAAAATCATGTTATCTTCATAAAATGGCTGCACCCATAAAATCTAATGGTTTATTATACATGTTATAACCTGGAAACTACATTCCTAGACCATGAACAAAGGGAATTAATTGTTGTCTGAAGCCTTATGTCAATAAGACAGCAACCCCATGCATAAAACAAACAAAAGACATTTTAGAGGGCAAAATACAGCTGTCTATACAATATACAAAATGTATCTCCATTTTAAACACTATAATTAAGAAAATATTCATCATACATAAAATATGAATATCATAAGGAAATATTCATCATACATAAATATGAATATCATAAGGAAATATTCATCATACATAAATATGAATATCATAAGGAAATATTCACCATACATAAATATGAATATCATAAGGAAATATTCATCATACATAAATATGAATATCATAAGGAAATATTCATCATACATAAATATGAATATCATAAGGAAATATTCATATATCACATAAGTCGGAATTAAGTCACAATAATAATTATTCCTGATAGATAAAGACAATACATATTCTCGATGCAGATTGATTTAAACAATGTGCAGGTAAAATTAAACAAGAATTAATATATAGATGATCTTGTGATCACAGCTTGCAAAAAATTTTTTTTTGGTGGTTAATGTCAAAATTAAAATTGACCAGGACCTGTATCTTATTTTTTAGAACATTGTGTTAAAATTTCAAAAGACTTTGTCTAATAATACTTTCATTATCACAAATGAACCATATAAATCTAAATTTTAAGGTAACTTAGGGTAAACTCTTGAATGGTAAATGTTAAAATCAATCTTGACCTGTATTTTATGATCAATGATGACATTGTGTTCAAATTTCAGATATACATGTAATAAGAGATAAATTAGTCCCAGTAAAATATGTCCAGGCAGACAAATATTACTAGTATAAAAAGTCCATGGTTACAGAACTTACTAGTACAATGTATAAAAAGTCCACGGTTACAGAATTTACTAGTACATGTATATTTAGTCTGATGTCAGTAATGTCCCGGTCTAATTTTCCTAGGTATTCATGTCCATGTCATCATGATCAATATTCCTAGGTAAAAATTAAACATCCATGTCCTTTATTTGACTAGGAAAATGTGTAATGAAAGAAATCATTTACATGAAAATAATGGAAATGTTTTAATGTTGTTTAACAGTTGTGCACTAATCTTTTAATAATATTTATGTGCCCAGACTAATTTTCCTAGGAAATCTTTATTTCACTACTCAAATGTAAATTGTGTACACATATACTATACAAAATGTAATAAAAAAAACTAATTGCTCAACTGAATACTGAAAATCTTATTCATGTAATGTTTATTTGTCATATTATAAGAGAAAATAAATTTTTAACCTACATTTTAAAAAAGTTAAAATAAATAGCATAAATCAAATGGATTTGTGTCTTTTTCATTAAAGATTTCCTATTTACAAGGTGGGAATTACCAACAGTATGCATATTGTCATTGAATATACATGTAGTTCATTCAACTCTGACCTGAATGTATACAAACAATTAATTGTCTTTTTCCTAAATCATGTAAATATTTCGTCCAATTGGAAAATTTTCATTTTTATTATTCAGGGGTGCATGGTGCTGGTAATAATGTGTATTTATGTATTTGTAAAATGTGTGTTAGTTTCTGTTTGCATCAAAATGTAAATTATACCTGAGCAAAGTCTGCATGAAAAATAGTTATGATAATAAACAAGGATTTGTAAAGTATGACAATAACATATATTCTAAAGTTCCCAATAATATTACAGCAGATTCCATTGAGTGTGTAGCCAAAGGTAATATCTTTGGTTAGCTTGCTTGTTAGCTGAACCGTGAAGTCATTGTTAGGTTAGGTAAACTACCCTACTTTAAGAATAGACTAGTCCGACAGAAAACCAATCGATCTGTCTGTTGGACTATGCTACTTCGAAAGGAGGGTAGTATACCTGACCAAATAATGACTTCACGGTTCAGCTAACAAGCAAGCTAACCAAAGATATAACCTTTGGCTACACACTCAATGGAATCTGCTGTAACAGTTTTTAGATACCTCAAACCAACCATCGTTTTCATTCTGTTTAATATGCAGCATGTCAAATTGTGTTTATCAAATATTATTGATTAAATTTTAATCGACACCGTTACTATCGTTCTCAATATTGACATTAAATAAACAGTGAAGATCAGTGAAATTTCGATATTTTTAAAAACAAAAATAAACTTACCTTTTCAGCTGCTGTTGAGGACAAACTTCTTCTCCATGTGCAATAACTACGAAAACTTTTTCGAATTAACTTTAAGTGGCTAGGTCGTGAAGTTCCAACAACTTGCAAGGCCGCCTTGAACTTGCTGATGTTGCAAATTGGACGGAAATAAGAGATATATCTCATCTTAATCATTGTCACTTATACATTACATAGCACTCATCACAATGCATGTGAAGTGTAATCGTATCCAGCTGCCAAGAAAAACACAAACGGTGTTTTCCTTATACGACCCGTAAAAATAATCCGAGCACCTGTTCCGGATAAACTTAACGTCAGGGTACCCAAATTGCACCTATTTTGACAGATTTTTCACCTACGTTTATTTATGATCCAGCTAAAAGTTTCCATTCTGTGTTTATTTTGTAGATGTATCATTATTTACTATATGGTTCCCCCAATTTAATTTTGAAACTATATTGAATCATAGGAAAATGGGTTTGAACAGACCTCCAAACGATTCATGATTCTGTAATGAGGTGTACCCAAATTGCATCCATGCTTAAATTCACATCCTTAGAAATCAGATGTTTTGATTTATTTCTTAAAATATTTAGAACAATTTGACATTAGTCCATACTCAATATTCATTTTTTAAGAAATGGATGCTTGTAACATATTTTATTTGCTCATTTTTAAAAGATGACTTTTGTGGACTTCGCATGGCGACGTTTCAGTACATTTTAGTATTATAGTTCCAGATTATACATGTGACTATAATACTAACATATATTAGTACAATAGTTCCCAGTGGCGGATCCAGAAATTTTCATAAGGGGGGCCTGCTCCAGTCATGCTTCAGTGATTCCCTATATTATCAACCAAATTTTTCTCACAAAAGGGGGAGCCCGGGCCCCCTGGAAAACCCTCTAAATCCGCCTCTGGTTCCAGATTATACATGTGACTATTATACTAACCTGTATTAGTATTATAGTTCCAGATTATACATGTGACTCTAACATATATTAGTATAACAGTTCCAGATTATACATGTGACTCTAACATATATTAGTACAATAGTTCCAGATTATACATGTGACTCTAACATATATTAGTATAATAGTTCCAGATTATACATGTGACTCTTATATATATTAGTATTATAGTTCCAGATTATACATGTGACTCTAATATATATTAGTATTATAGTTCCAGTTTATACATGTGACTATAATACTAACATATATTAGTATAACAGTTCCAGATTATACATGTGACTCTAACATATATTAGTATAACAGTTCCAGATTATACATGTGACTCTAACATATATTAGTACAATAGTTCCAGATTATACATGTGACTATTATACTAACATATATTAGTACAATAGTTCCAGATTATACATGTGACTATTATACTAACCTGTATTAGTATTATAGTTCCAGATTATACATGTGACTCTAACATATATTAGTATAACAGTTCCAGATTATACATGTGACTCTAACATATATTAGTATAACAGTTCCAGATTATACATGTGACTATAATACTAACATCTATTAGTACAATAGTTCCAGATTATACATGTGACTATAATGCTAACATCTATTAGTACAATAGTTCCAGATTATACATGTGACTATTATACTAACCTGTATTAGTATTATAGTTCCAGATTATACATGTGACTCTAACATATATTAGTATAACAGTTCCAGATCATACATGTGACTCTAACATATATTAGTATAACAGTTCCAGATTATACATGTGACTCTTATATATATTAGTATTATAGTTCCAGATTATACATGTGACTATAATACTAACATATATTAGTATAACAGTTCCAGATTATACATGTGACTCTAATATATATTAGTATAACAGTTCCAGATCATACATGTGACTCTAACATATATTAGTATAACAGTTCCAGATTATACATGTGACTCTAATACTAACCTGTATTAGTATTATAGTTCCAGATTATACATGTGACTCTAACATATATTAGTATAACAGTTCCAGATCATACATGTGACTCTAACATATATTAGTATAACAGTTCCAGATTATACATGTGACTCTAATACTAACCTGTATTAGTATTATAGTTCCAGATTATACATGTGACTCTAACATATATTAGTATAACAGTTCCAGATCATACATGTGACTCTAACATATATTAGTATAACAGTTCCAGATTATACATGTGACTATAATACTAACCTGTATTAGTATTATAGTTCCAGATTATACATGTGACTCTAACATATATTAGTATAACAGTTCCAGATTATACATGTGACTCTAATACTAACCTGTATTAGTATTATAGTTCCAGATTATACATGTGACTCTAACATATATTAGTATAACAGTTCCAGATTATACATGTGACTATAATACTAACCTGTATTAGTATTATAGTTCCAGATTATACATGTGACTCTAACATATATTAGTATAACAGTTCCAGATCATACATGTGACTCTAACATATATTAGTATTATAGTTCCAGATTATACATGTGACTATAATACTAACATATATTAGTATAACAGTTCCAGATTATACATGTGACTCTAATATATATTAGTATAACAGTTCCAGATTATACATGTGACTCTAACATATATTAGTATAACAGTTCCAGATTATACATGTGACTCTAACATATATTAGTATAACAGTTCCAGATTATACATGTGACTCTAATATATATTAGTATAACAGTTCCAGATTATACATGTGACTCTAACATATATTAGTACAATAGTTCCAGATTATACATGTGACTATAATACTAACATATATTAGTATAACAGTTCCAGATTATACATGTGACTCTTATATATATTAGTATTATAGTTCCAGATTATACATGTGACTCTAATATATATTAGTATTATAGTTCCAGTTTATACATGTGACTATAATACTAACATATATTAGTATAACAGTTCCAGATTATACATGTGACTCTAACATATATTAGTATAACAGTTCCAGATTATACATGTGACTCTAACATATATTAGTATAACAGTTCCAGATTATACATGTGACTCTAATATATATTAGTATAACAGTTCCAGATTATACATGTGACTCTAACATATATTAGTACAATAGTTCCAGATTATACATGTGACTATAATACTAACATATATTAGTATAACAGTTCCAGATTATACATGTGACTCTTATATATATTAGTATTATAGTTCCAGATTATACATGTGACTCTAATATATATTAGTATTATAGTTCCAGTTTATACATGTGACTATAATACTAACATATATTAGTATAACAGTTCCAGATTATACATGTGACTCTAACATATATTAGTATAACAGTTCCAGATTATACATGTGACTCTAACATATATTAGTATAACAGTTCCAGATTATACATGTGACTCTAATATATATTAGTATAACAGTTCCAGATTATACATGTGACTCTAACATATATTAGTACAATAGTTCCAGATTATACATGTGACTATAATACTAACATATATTAGTATAACAGTTCCAGATTATACATGTGACTATTATACTAACCTGTATTAGTATTATAGTTCCAGATTATACATGTGACTCTAACATATATTAGTATAACAGTTTCAGATTATACATGTGACTATTATACTAACATATATTAGTATTATAGTTCCAGATTATACATGTGACTATTATACTAACATATATATGTACAATAGTTCCAGATTATACATGTGACTCTAACATATATTAGTATAACAGTTCCAGATTATACATGTGACTATCATACTAACATATATTAGTATTATAGTTCCAGATTATACATGTGACTATCATACTAACATATATTAGTACAATAGTTCCAGATTATACATGTGACTATCATACTAACATATATTAGTACTATAATTCCAGATTATACATGTGACTATTATACTAACATATATTAGTACAATAGTTCCAGATTATACATGTGACTATCATACTAACATATATTAGTAGAATAGTTCCAGATTATACATGTGACTATCATACTAACATATATTAGTACAATAGTTCCAGATTATACATGTGACTATTATACTAACATATATTAGTACAATAGTTCCAGATTATACATGTGACTATTATACTAACATATATTAGTATTATAGTTCCAGATTATACATTATAACTACTTATATGGTGCTGTACATTTTATCAAGAATTTTTCCTTGATTTAAAAAAAAAAAACTAGCTGTGTCACTCACCTGTATCTACTGTGGTTTTGGAAATCATGTAAAATAAGGTTAAAATCATAATAAATAGTATTAGATATCCCAGTAATGATTAAGACCAAGTTTGGTTTAATTTGTCCCAGTAGTTAAATTAAAAGCAGGTCATCCCATTGTAGTCTTACAATAGTTACTGAAGACCCCTTATCATTATATAAATTAGTTTTCAAGTTGTGACCATTTAAAATTGTCCTTTTACAATTTTCCCATAGACTTCTATAGTAAACCCCTTTTGTTCTATTTTTAGCCATGGCGGCCAAGTTGGTTGGATGGCAGGGTCATCAGATAGATACATTTTCAAATAAGATACCCTATTAAAAATTGTGGCTAAGTTTAATTCTATTTGGCCCAGTAGATGAAGTGGAGAAGATTTTTGTATAAGATTACAAAAATTTAAGAAAAATTGTTAAAAATTGACTATAAAGGGCAATAACTCCTTAAGGATCAACTGACAATTTTGTTCATATTGACTTATTTGTAGATCATACTTTGCTGAACATTATTGCTGTTTACAGTTTATCTCTATCTATAATTATATTTAAGATAATAACCAAAAACTGCAAAATTTCCTTAAATTACCAATTCAGGGGCAGCAACCCAACAACGGGTTATCTGATTCGTCTGAAAATTTCAAGGGCAGATAGATCTTAACCTGATAAATACTTTTTCTCCATGTCAGATTTGCTCTAAATGCTTTAGTTTCAGAGATATAAGCCAAAAACTGCATTTTACCCCTATGTTCTATTTTTAGCCATGTTGGCCATGTTGGTTGGCAGGCGGGGTCATTGAACACATTTTTTAAACTAGTTACCCTAATGATGATTGTGGCCAAGCTAGTTACCCTAATAATGATTGTGGCCAAGTTTGGTTAATTTTGGCCCAGTCATTTCAGAGGAGAAGGTTTTTGTAAAAGTTAACGGACGACCAAGATGGACGATGACGACGGACGCCAAGTGATGAGAAAAGCTAGCTCACT